TGCTTCTTCCAGATCTGAGCACAGTGAGGCAAAATACATTGGCAAAATAATTATTTATCACTCTTAAAAGCTTCCTTTAAATTTTCTATCATTCAAAGACTGGCTGGGGAAAATGTAAAGGACAGAGAAGCATATTTTATGCACTCGCTAGTCTAGCTTTTACGCTGATGAGAACTTACTAAACACCAGTAAAGGGAATAGCAGTTATCAGCCCTAATTCACAACTGTGAATTTTTTAGACCAAACAGATGCCTTTGCAGAATCCCAGCCAAGTGTTAATGACAGCCCCCGTTCCACTGGAGTCACTAGTTATTTCATATGGCTTCAAATGAGGGCAGGTTTGCTCCAAAGATCCGAGCAAGCATGCTGCTCTCAGAGAGACACTCATTGCCACACTGAGTAGGACAGGGTCCTCTAACCTTACCCAAAGAAAGGAAAATAATAAAAAAAGACATAGTCCTTTGCCTCAGGGTTTTTATTTTGATGTATAGGGTTTTTCTTCTAAACTCTTTTTTTTTCCCCCCAGTTGATTAAAAATAAGGGGAAGCAGGCCTTCAACGTGAAACCATCTAAATACAATAAGAGATCTCTTTTAAAACACACTTGAAAATCTCCTCAAAATCTGTTCAGAGAATTTTGCCATCTCTTCTACCCATGCAACAACAGAGCTTGGAACTCCCCCAGGGAGAAGAGACCAAACAGGAAAGGTTGGTGCCCACATTTACTTCTGTGTTCCCAGACCCATCAATAGAAGAGCCTGCAGGAGAGATGAACAGGCAGGACCTCAGTCAAGCACTTTATACTGAAGCAAAGTCAAAGTTGTCAGGCAAATCCATATTCTTGTCTTTAAAAGGATTCAGGATAAGAAAAATTAAGTCCAGGTGCAAACATTTGCAAACTGAGGTTTACTTTTTCTACCTATGCACTTGAAATGAACATTGAAAGGGCAAACCCTCCCTAATCCTATCATGGCAATGTCTTTCTCTGCTTCCTAAAGCTGAGATTATCATCTCATTGGTTGTCACACAGCTCCTGAGAGAAGTAATTCACTGGATTTTCCTGTGTTATCACAGCACAGGATTTTATTTCTGTTGTTATCGGAATGGAAAATGCACATAGCTTGTTCTCTGTCTTGCTCCTTTTAAGTTACTTACAGACCTGGATGTGGCAAGCTTCCAAACACCCCAACTGCACTAAGACAGCTAAATCTGGGCAACCTGCTTCTTAGCAGCTCATCTCGACAAAGGCAGGAAAATTTCCAGTTTTAAATTTCTATTCCAATTAAGGCAATGAAGACTGAAGACCCCTAAACTGTTGCCATTGCTTTCCAGCACATAAAATTAACAATTTGTGCTGCTGTGTGCAACTTTCAGTTAAAGTTGGTCTGATTTATAAGCAAGCAGATGGTTCACACGATAGTCCACAATAAATTACAACAGTTAGAAAGACAGCTACATTTTGAGAGTGACAGTGCAGCTGAGCTACAGATGGGTTTATAGATGACCCTTCCAATTTTTAATAATCTCCATAATTTATCTGCAAGCAAAGAAATGTGAGAATTCCTAATGCACCTTTTGACTAAGTACAAATCACTTTTATTTACACAAGTAATACTTCATGGTCCAGTTAACTTCTTAATTAAAGGCAGCAAGATGCTCATGTTCCGTGCAAGTGGCATGGAAAATACTGTTTGGTGTACAATATGTTCTGCTGGGAGTTTAAGATGCTCTGAACAATCCTGGAAAAGGGAACTCATCTATCCCAATTCTTTAAAACAAAACTACAAGGGTGCAAACGCTGCTATCATCAGTTACTTTTCATTAACCTCTGGATAAACTTTAGGCTCATGCAAAGCCTAAAGTTTATCTAAAGGTCATTTACAAGATCTGATTCTTGAAAACAGACTTCTAATCCATACTATAAAACCAGTATTACTGAGTCAGGACTAGGATGGGGAAACAGCTGGAACAGAGACCCTCATCCCTGAATAAAGACAAAGGGATTTGGAGGGGTCACTCCGGAATGGGTGAGGCTAAAAGGAAAGCAAGCCTGGGGGGTTGTCAGCTGTGATGCAGAAAGAAACTGGCTGGAAGCAGCCTTAAGAAGCCAGTTCATGTCAGTGATTTCAATGGCCACTTCTCTGGCCTAGGACCAAACCACATCAGTCCAATCCTTCTGCTAATCCTTCTTCCCCTTTCGAAGGGACTTACAGAAAGACACCTCTGTTGGGTTGTTATTGATTGCATGTCATGGTACAACAGACTCAGTCCTTCATGGCTGTAGTCTCAGCTGCAATGAGAAGCACATCTAAGTGCAACTACTCTGTCTGTAGGGTGGTGAAAGCAGCAGTAGCTACTAGGGCTCTTTAAGGCATGAACTACAGAAACTCAAAGGGTTTCCCACAGCCAGTATCAAGGAATGACATTTGAGGGCTTTTCCTCCCCTCTAAACCTTCATCTTCCCTTCTGGCCAAATTAATTCAAAAAGAGATCCACTTTTAAGAGGAAATCCAAAACTGTTGTTAAAGCAGAAAGCACAGCTCCTAGGAAAACAAGTCTATGTATAATTGTAATTACCACCTTCCAGGGAATAAAGAGATGCAGCAGAGAAGAGGCAGCACCGACAAATTCAGGCTTTCAAGAATAATCACAATTCATTATTTTGGAGATATTCTTGCAGGGATTGCCCAGCTCTGCCCACAGCAGGGCAGCGTGGGGAGCAGCACCACAGAGACACACGGGTAGGAAAACCCACTGCACAGAGGTGATGGGACTGCAGCCACTAATACATAAAGTGATTCTTCTGCTTCCCTTCCCTGGCAGCACCAACACCCCTTCATCCACAACACAGAACAATACTGAAGTTAAATCTGTTGTGTTTAAAAAAAAAAAAAAATTAAAATCAAATTCTTCTGTAAATTATCAGAGTCTGAAAGTCTTTGGAGCTTATATGAAACCATTATTTATTACTGTACACAACTCTTAAGTTGTTTCATTAAACACATGAAAAATTGTCTATGTCAGATTATTTCTGGGATGCTCTTTACTGTTATTTGTCATATTGTTTCTGTTACGCTTCGCATACTTGAAGCTGCATTAAGCACTTCTGAAAACCCAGAGAAGATCACTATGGAATTAGTATGGATGTTCAGCTGTTACTGAGTGCTGAGTTTGGCACTTTATTTTAACGATATTCATCAGGTTCAGGAACTGCTAGCACGCTTCCCTCCAAGACAACACTGGGTCATACTACTGTTCTTTAAAAAAATATTGTGTTGAATATTTAATAGTATTTTAAAATATTCTTTAGCTATAATACTTTGACTGCAACGCTTTCATTTGCTTTCAAGAGGCCAAATGCACACATAGCACAAGAAATCAGAAGGTGTCTGAAAGCAATAGGATCACTCTTGTTGCCCCCAGCCTGACAATAATTCTGGAGTTATCACGAGTAGCCGGAAAGCCAGCACAGGCTACTCCAGTTCATTCCAGTGAAAAGTCAGAGAAAATATACACATGGTTGGTGTAACTATACAGTGAATACAATTCCCAGGACTCATCTACTGAAGCCTGCAGGGATGCTCCAGCTCACTAGACTGTACATCAAACCTTCTGGCTGGCATCCTTCTCCACTAACAGTAAAAGTAATCCTGGATAGGGGATAAAGCAAGGAACACACATAAGCATTACCTTGTACTTCTTGTTCCTTGCATTCAGTAATCTGTCAATGGTGTGGAAATTATTTTCACAACCTTAGGAAGGGGACACCTTTTGTACTGCCTGATGTATGAAAATGCAGATGAATATGATAATATGAAAAGAGTAAACTCCCCAGTAGCAAGTAGTTCTCATTTCTCTTAATAATCAAATATTATTTCCATCAACGTAACTAGAGGAAAAGAAATGTAAGTAGCAATTTGTCAGTCTATTTATCAAACCAAGTGCTGCACCTGGTTCCCACACATTTTATGTTGAAAAGCATATGACATGTAAGGCTTTATGGTTCAGTTTTAACTCAGGGATGAAAACATTTATAGATATGAAGGTTTTCTTATTAAGTTTTCTTTCTAAATGATTAGGCTTGTTCAAATCAATTCCTAGCCATCTTGCAGAGGTTACAACCTTCAATAATTAAATTGGATATTGTATTGGCTGTTGTGTTCATTATGCTACAAGTTCCAATTTCTACAAGAGAACAGAAGTGCTAAGATAAAAGGATGTTAAGTTTATTTAATTAGCTATCTGCCATTGTTATCAAAATGGAAGGTTGGTATCTGACTCAAATTAACACTTTAGATCAGGAAATAAGACAGATGATATCTTCTGACAAGGATCTTGGAAACTCTCTGTAGTCATTTCAGTTATTTTAAAGCTGCTCAGGACAAACAGGATTACATTAGAAAGAGCAAAAGTCACCGATAGTAAATGAAGTGCTGCTATGAAAATGCTATTTCAATCACACTTGGGTTTTTTCTCGTTTTCAGTTGTTAACATTCTTGCCACTTTTGTCACACAGTCACTTCTAGCAGCATTGAATTTTAACTGGACATAATTTTAAACCAACATGAAATAGGACTGAGCACATAATACCTGTTCATTGAGCCAACAAACAACAGAGCAGATCAGGCCCTTGCACCACAGCATCACCTCTCTGCAGAAGAGGTGCCATCTCTGCCATCCCTCTGCCTCTAAAATCTCATTTCTTACCTAATAGAAATATTAGGTCCTTCAGAGGAGGCAAAAAGACAGAGCTCCTAGAAAGCTTTTAACTGTGGCTTACACAAACCAAACCCATGAGTATCAACTTTGCAACTGCCCAGAGGATACAGTACCTGAATGAAATCCTCAAAGGACACCCATTGCCTCCCTCCCCAGACTACATTTGTATAGAGTGGCCAATGGCCAAAGTAATTTATCCAATAACCACATCACCCTGCCAGTTCTTGGTTTCTTTCTGTTAGGGCTACAGAAATGTGCTTATTCCCTTCCCAAAAAACTTACTGGTCTTGACCGGATTTCTTTGGCGTAAAGAGGTTTCAAGAATTCTGAATCTCCTTCAAGCTTCAGACCCTTTTCCGTGATTCTCAGGTTCCCCATTCCATCCTAAAAGACAGGCAAAAAGAAACAAGCCCATTAGTTACAATTACTAAATTCACCAGGACACCAATAGCTGATTTTTTTTCCACAGAAGATAACACATATAGCACTGGGAGGCACTAGAGAATGCAATTACTTCTGTTATGCTTGTCACTTGGTTTCTGTGGAAAAAAAAATAAAATTCTATTCAGAAGAATCTGCAATGCCCCCCAGTAAACCATTTACACAGATGAAAGATGTTCCTTTAAGCTAAATCATTCTCCACTCACAGAGACGCAGCAATGCTCTGTGTTAACAGGAAACTATTCACTGTAATATCCACCGTCTGCCTGTATATTAATATACCTTCTCATTCACAGCAAATCATCTAAAGACTGTGTGATTAATTCTGCCAAACTCCATATAGAGAATATGTGACTAATTCCACTGAGTCAAGAAAATAAAGTTTGGCTGCGTAGCAGTATTGCAACAAAATGTGGTAGGGAACTTGACCCCTGTAATTTGGGGGAGCCCCTCCAAAACATGGAATCTTTGGTGGGATTTCCTTAGGGCTATCAGTCTTTACAGAAAAAGTTGTGGACTCACGCTGATTAGTTTCAAGTGTCACAGTCTCTTCTGTGCTTTCAACTGTTAAGATGCTGCACAGCTTTACTGGAATATACATTTATGCAAATATTTCCCCTGGAAGAAGTAATGGTACAAAAGAAACAAGGCTGCTCTCCTGTCCTGGGCTAACTTCTGGCTTTTCTCTCCCTTCAAAGATCAGCTCAGGACTGGAGCCCTCACTCTGCTCCTTGCACATCCCCAAGCACATCCCAGCAATCTGAACCTCTGCATTCAAATATTTGGGTCTTCTGAGTCATTCTCATGCCCTTCAACCAACCACTGCCAAGACCATTGGCCAGGCATGAAGTGACTGATGTAACACTGGTTTCTGTTGAGTCCTAGTTCCACACTGGTAGCTCTCAGTCCTTGCCCTCTCCCCAGCCCTCCCAAGCTCCACAGCTCCACCACACCCTCTACTTCCATGGCAAAAATCTTCTTGGCCTCCAAGAGATGACTGCAAATAGCCCTTTTAGAAATTAATTTCTAATTTAGCTATGTGTGTGCAAAATGTAATGAAAGATCTGATAAACCATATGAGCAAAGAAAAGATGTCAGATTTTCATGATTTTTTTTTTTTAAATGCAGTAAGACAGGTATATGGACACACTGGCACAGAGCAGAACTGTACCAAAATATATTTCACCTTTGACACATGAAAGCTCTAACTTTTACTAAGATGAGGGATTTAGCTTCATTTAGGCTATAATTGCTTAGAAAGGGGTGGGGGTGGGGGTGAAAGAAACATGGTGTGGGTAGAGAACTGCACAAGTACATCCATAATCAAAGCCACATCAAATGCAAGGTATTGTTTCTAAGATTCAGGGTGATTATCAAAGTTTGCAAGGATTGAGGTAAATTGGTTGTTTTTCTGAGAAAAAGATGGTCTGAAGAATACCTTTTAGCATAAAATTGACTGAAGTCACTAGGATTGGAGAGTAACACTAGCACCTCAGCTGTTTCAGGGATTTTATAGGAAAGAGGAATGCACTTGGGTAGAAGCCCTAAGAAGATCAAGAAGAGACCTGGAAAAACCAGGAAAACTGAATGTATTTGGATATACATCCTGCATGCTTTCTAATCCATCTACAAACCCCCTTCCCATCTCTCTACTCCCTCTCCCTCCCACTGTGAGTGCACCAGAACAGGAATCACCGTCACTACAAGTGAATGGCTAACCCAGAGAGACTTCCATGAACTACTGGCAAAAGGCATGAATTTGGAGGGATGAAAATCAAAGACATCTCACAGCTCAGCAGTAGCACTGGTCACTTGCCAGAGGTTCTCCTGTTCCAAGAAGTACCATTCCCAGGTAGTTCTCTGCCAAGTTAAAATCCTTCTTGCCAGAGCATGGTGTCTTATGAACAAAGATGACGCTGGGTGATAAAGTGACCACTGTCATCTCCTTTTGAACTGAAAGCTGTAAGCAAATTTGAGAGACGTATGCTGAAAATGCTACGGATCGTTGAAGGGAGGGAATGAGAGGTGTCTCATAAAATGCCACTTGCAACATTCCTTGGCCCCAGGTGGAAAATATTGGCTTGTGAATTCTGGGTTGGTGGTGGCACAGCAGGGGTTCATTTATTTCACACAAAAGGATGGAGGAAAATGAGTGAAATGTGATTATGCACCAAAAAAACCCCAGATTAAACTTTGATAGTGGTGTGCTTTGTGATTCGAGCGAGCAGGAATTATTACAGCTATCTGCAGACCCTCACACATTTTGGGCTGCTAAAAAAACTACTTTTTTTTTTTTTTCCCTCAAGATAGATATTTCAGCAAGGTTACAAGCCTTGAGGGCTTTCACACAGCAGTGTCTTCTCTGGTTTTATCAAGAAAAGTTACATGTCAGGGGAGCTAGTATGTGCCCCATACAGCTGCAAGAATGACCATCTGTGTGGATATGCAATGCTGACCATTTCCAGGGCTTACTCCTGAGCTGAGGTGGGGCAATACTTTACCAGCAGTGTGGACTTATGGATAAAAAGGGATTTGTGAAGTCACCACCAAGCTGTGGCAAACCAGAAATTTTGATGGCTCACAACTATGTTCTATCATAATGATATATATGATTATATATGAAAAATACACATATGGGACATTCAGCTCACAGCTAAAAGATGTATCAGGCCTATGGGACAATGTACTACAACCAAAACATCACAAACACATTTGACTAATTAAAGCAGGTGTATTCTCTCATAAATCCACTGGGTTGGAAAAAAAGAGGTGCTTTCCCATGTTTTCTTCTCAATCTCCAATCCCCACTCACCTTTCCTTCCTCCAGTAGCCACCAAAATTAATAAAAGCTGCACCCACCAGATGTCCCTCCCTGGTGTTTGGGAGCAGATACAATGCTTAGCACTGACTTACTATGACTAACTCACAGCTGCTCATGTTTCTCATGATTAAAGCTGACAGCTTTTTGTAGTGACAGTCTGGGTCAGCAGGTGAAAAACCAAGCAAAGGTTGTAACCTGAGTTTAATGAGTTTCATGGCCTCTTATCATACAACATTATAAAATCATATTCATCTATTATTTCCCATTAAAGAAAAAAAAGAAAAAAAAGCAGCTTGCAGAATTATATAGAGGTCCCAAAACACAGATACATTAGAGAGAAATCATTGTGTGAAAGACTTCTCCACAAGTTGTTTTGGATAAAGTATCTTCATCCTCCCTAAATTATATGGTTTAATAACAAATAAATGTCATATTCTGCTTCAGAGAATATATATGAAAGTTCCCATGAAATTTCATGGACTGTGACCTATAAAATGTAGCAGAAAACTGCCTAGAGTGACAAAGACCAAAATGTTTTATTAAACATTGTGTCTGTGATTGGTATATATCCTTATCTGCCACTCTACTGCTTGTGAATAAGGATAAAATGAAGGCAGTATTGATTATTTGATACTCTGCCATCTGACAATCATTGTTTCTCTCCTTTTTATTAATAGACTCCTCAGCAGAGTGAATTACTTTATTGTGCAGGCACAAGCCAGCTTTATGGGAGCTCCCAGGAGGAAAGTTCCAAACAGGAGGCACAGAGTCAGGAACTTTCCATTACCACCTGGTTTGAATTATTCTGCTTTTTGGTAGATCATGGAAAAACCTTCCACATCAATTATATCATCTATGCCCTGTCTCTTTTTATGCAATGCCTTGTACTGGACAACCATAAAAGTTTATGTGCTATTGCTGACTGCTCTGGGTTGAAAGGATTCAGAAATCCTGAATAACATAAATGTCATTTTGGTGATGCTCAATGAGAAGGGAATTTGCTTTTTTCAGTAGCCTGAGAAGCAATTCATATTTACAGCCAATTATGAATGATGGCATTACTGTTAGGGAAACAGCCCAGCATTGATGCCATCTGATCTCTGCCTTTTGGGTAGCAATGTGGCCATACAATGTGGCCAAAACCAGTTTGGTTTTGTTTTACTTTTTAACAGTTGTAGGTTACTTTAATTTTTTTTTTTTTTTTTAAGTGCACAGCTGGTAGCAGGGAGATTCAGAACAAGAAAAAACAGCCAGCCTACCCAAAGAGATGTAACTGCTGTGGTAGAGGCCTTAAACTGAGAGAGGGTAGATTTAGATTAGATTTTTGGAAGAAATTCTTCCCTGTGAGGGTGGTGAGGCACTGGCACAGGTTGCCCAGAGAAGCTGTGAATGCCCCATCCCTGGATGCTCAAGGCCAGCTTTGAGCAACTTGGTCTAGTGGAAGGTGTCCCTGCACATGGCAGGGGGGATTAGAATTAGATGATTTTTAAGGTCCCTTCCAACCCAAATATTTCTATAATTCTACGATAAACACCTGGAAGTGGGACTGACCACACCAACCTGAACTGCTTACACACAGGGACGAGGTAATTTTCAGTGCTCTCTGCCATTCATGGGCAGCTTTATTTGACCAGGCTGAGCTCACACTACAGCTTAACCTAGTCAAGAACCAAGATGGTGATGCCACATATTTACTGTGTCCCTTAGCACCAGGATGATTTGTCTGTCACAAAAAATGACTTCAGCCTCAAACTCTTCTGTGCTTCCTGTGTTGTCCAGAAATTTCTGAACATGGAGGCAAATTAGCTGTTTATGTAAGGATTTTAAGGACACTGGTGATGGGGAACACAGATTGCTCCAGCTGCCTGCTGGCCACCACCAGCACGTGTTTCCCCACGGTTTTTCCTGCACCTCCATCCCTCTCCGGTTTTCAGGAGGAAAACTGTTGTCAAGGTTTCTCTGCACAGCAGGCAGGCATTCACTTCTTTGCTAGGAATAAACTGAAGTTATGTTCAGCAATGTCCTCTGGGAGAGCATTATCTTTGGAGACTGCTCATGTCAGATGGCTGAAACACCTGATTATCATTGCTTGTATTATTGATTGCTGTGCTCTGCATTGCTT